ATGTCTGGCAGGTAAAATAACACATAACTAAATGGGTAAAATTATATCTGACCGATATTGTATATGATTCCAGATGGTTATATCTTAGTCTATTTTATTCCTGTATCGGCCTTTTCAACATATTTTATACGTTTAAATTATGATAATACAGTGACAGAATCTGAGATTTATTATATTTTTTTGATGAAGTTTCTCACGATGATCTGTTTATTTGCGCATAAGATCATGTAAATTCCTGAAGTCATTGGAAAATTTCTATAATCTCACTTAGTTTTTTTTACCGTTCGGCTATTTTGAAATTAACCAAATTGATTCAATTCAGTCAAAGACTGTTGTAGAAGTTTTTAAGGTGCACCCCTGGGTTTTCATTGTAATAAGTCTGTCTCAAAAGCTAAAAGGCTATCTCTCTCTTCAGCGATAATCTTTCGAGGAAATTGAAAACAGCATACTAAGAGACCTTCACTGTCTGAGTGTAAGTTGAATGCACTTGGTCAGCAAAGAAATCAATTATCAAGTGACAGGGCACCAATTCAAGTTTGACTGGCTGATTTGAAGTGGTCACGTTGTACTTCAGCCAGTAGCGTGCTGAGAGGGGGAGGGACGACTGCCCCTCCTTCCCCCAATTGTGCTTGCCAAATTTTTCCAAAGGGTCCAATTTTAAGTCATCCTTTGGTACAATTTTAAGTCATCCATTTTTGGCTGACCGACCTCAAAATTTTTCTAAAGGCGCCTTCGACGCCAATATAACTAAGTTTGAGGGGGTGGGGGAAACGCGCGCCGAAAAAAACGCATTTTTTTGTCAAAAGTTTCCGAAAAGCGCTCAAAAACGACGTTTTTTGCATGTTTTTTTTTAAAGTTTGCTTACGGCACAGAAAACTGTTGGCAAAATAGGGTCCTTATAGCATTTTCAAAGAGCTTGGAAAATCAAATTGGTCGACCTAAAAAAATTCCGCAGTACCCTCCCCCCCCCCCCCCCCCCCTACAAAACTTTTTTCTGCGCACACCACTGGCTTTGACTTCACAGCAAAGTTTTGAGAGCGAAATAGTTCCGGTCAAGGCCTCGTTTCTCAATTAGTAAATATGCGAGGGCCGTCCAAAATGTCTTACAGTTCATGACTGAATATGTTTTTAATTGGACCAAGTTAACACCCCCATCTCCCAAGCAGTAGAATTGAGCATTTTACATCGGGGAAATGGTTAAGTTGATCCTTGTAATTATTCATAAAATTTTCAATATTCACTGGGTTTTAAAAAGATTATACGTAATGTTCTAGGAGCCTTCTGAGAGGAATCTGAAAATGTGTGTGAACACCCAATTTAGATTTAGACTAAAATCCTTCTCGCTATTGATTGGACCCGACAAGCATTATTGTACACATTTTCAAAGAAAATATATGCTTGCGGTTTTTTTTTCGAACTAATTTCCTGAAGAGTATTTGCTCACTTGAGGCTCGCTGCTGACCTTCATGGCCCCCCACCGTGCGCGTACTTTAACGTGACGCTTTGACTAATCTGAATAGAGTTTAAATTTATAATTTGATGATGAAAATATAAAACAAACTATTTACGCGTGGCGCGTTATCCCGCACTACAAAATCGTTCCAAATTGAATTGAGTCAAGCTAATTGGTCTGATTAGTTTCATGTACGATTCAAATTTGGAAATTACGTCTCTCAAATCACTTTTTTGGGAATGTTAGCTTAGTTCTACGAGAGAACTGTCAGCAAATCAGAATTGAGCATTTTACCCGCACTCAGTAAAAAAGAAAATAATAAATTATTATGTTTTTTTTATTAGCAGTCTCCATAAGTTTCAAAAAGAATTGATTACAATTGATTAAAATTGGATTGGAATTTTACCAGTTTTCGAAACAATAAAAATCATTATAATAGATTCTAATCGACTATTTTTTGAAAACTTTTTTCTCAAACACTATTGAGTTATAATCCAATATTATACAACAAATGTAATCGCTTTGTTTCGCTTTATTTTTGTTTTGTGTGCTTTTCAGTTGGTTACCGAAAAAAACTGTAATTTTGTACTTATAGCTTAAACCTAATATAAATTTGAGTTTACTGTGTTTTTAAGCAGAATAGCTAAATTAGAATCAATTATAATTGATTTTAATTCGTGAGATAAAACTTTGATAGAAAAAGGGATTATAATCTATTATAATAGATTATAAAAAATTTACGGAAAAATTATAACCAATTATAATTGACTATGACTTAATAAACTTTCATCTAAAATGTCATCGTTATAATAGATTATAAATCGTTCAATCATCTAAAAGTGGTGCTTATTTTTAATTAATATTTTGCTGAAAGTACGATTAAATTTATAATAAAATCGGTTATTTTCTCTTTTTACTGAGTGCGGGTAGCCAAGTAATCTGAAATAAATGCAAGGTTGGAATAGCTATTTTTGGTTTATCTGAAGGGGTGGGGAACAGATGTTAGCTTTTAGAGTTTGATATTACCAGCTTAAAAATCAATTTGTTTGTTTTTTCCCAAATAACAATTTGAGACCCGTTAAATGGCAGTGGGAACATTCGTGGTTTGCCTTGATATACGAGCAAATTAAAAAAGCATCATTGATTTGTCATTGAATCGGTTCTAGCTCAAAAATCTGATTCCTTATAGTAACAAGCATAGCTGGTTACTGGGCAAGTAGTACAGAATTTTCCGACAAGAAATGTTTTTTCAAATTACTGTCGTTTTTTTTCTGCATGTTGTTATAAAAAGATCTGAACAAAAAAAAACAATTTAGGCATAAATGAGAGTCATAGTAGAATAGGTCAATTGTTAAACAGTTTTTGCAGAAAAAATGACAAGAAAAACGTTTTTTTTTTGCAGCAGTTTTGTTGAATTTTCATGTTTTTGATTCCTAAAATTGCGCTAAAAAAACTCCAAAAGCTCTTTTTAAGTAAGTAAAATTAAACTTTCAAGGCTTAAATTAAGCCTAAAAAGGCTATTGTAAGTCAACACGGTCACCTTATTGACTCGGAATTAGACCAAAAATCAAAAATTTCAAACAGGTTTTTCATTTTTTAATGTCGTTGAAATCCCGACTGAAAGGGCTTTAATATAATATATCACTCTACCCATTCCGATTTGTGATACTTGATTTTGCGTGAAGAACGAAAAAGAAAAAACAAACTAAAACAACTTTCAATGGTCGGAACAACTATTGAGTACACTGACGGTATAACTTATAAGACATATTATAAGACAAGGAATAGTTCAATTGTTCAACTCAAATTTGAACAACTTTCTAGCAAAAATGGCTTCTAATTTTCATACAGAGTCCTACTTTCTCTTAGCAAACAGACAACACGTAGGTTGGATTGAGGCGATCCGTCTTCAATTTTAAAAAAAAAAATTTCAGCAAAAAAGTAGATGTATACCTATTTTTTCATTTGATACTTGTTATGTAAGTTTTGAATACAAATGTTGTTGAGTATGCCACTCACTAGCGGATTCACCTACTCTGTACGCGGTCGTTTATTTTTTACCCAATGGTCGGAACCATCTGTGGTACTTAAACAAAAACCAGCTATTCATTATTCTTTTCTTTAATTTTACTCAAAATCAGGCATCACCAAAAAATATCGCAAAAAAATGAGTAATAATTATTTTTGCAAGCTTTTTCAGTCATGATTGGAACGACTTTGAATAAGTATAAAAAGTGTCTCAGTTTCGAGAAAACCAATCTGAATTGTCTGACATAGTCTTCTTGTGAGCAAATAAAGCAATCAACTAAGAATTGTTAAATGCAATTTGATCATTCAGCCGAAACAATTTGGTTTTACTGTCGGAATTATTAGAAAACAATTTTGAAAAAGTAAAAGCATTTTTAGAGTTTTTTTTGCATACTGAGTGAATAGTTTTTTGTTTTTTATTGTCTCGACTTTTGATACGAAAGTAACGGAATATTTGTGCTCGGGGTGGGTTTTTTTTCTTCAGACAAATTTCGACTTTTTAAAGGGCCTTTTTTGATGGCATTTTTTTTAATCATTCAAAAGTATTTTTGTCCTGAGCTTAAAAAAGATAAGATATTACACCTGTGATCATTTTTCGTAAAGTTATGGGGGTTTAAAGATTGCTATTTCGCGCTAATGATGCGTAAGCGGAGATTTAATCCGTCTTAGAAATCGTTCCAAATTGATTGAAAGAAACTTCTTTGCCATAATTGAATTGTTACAAGGAGCGAAATCCATCTTTTGGATCTTTATATGGCATGTGGGGTGTTGAGTTTCATAAAAATTTTCATTTTTTTTGTAATTTTTTTTTTCATTTTATTTTATTACATTTAGTTTTTTTAATATTACTACTGCTCCATAAACCTTAAAAGGCAGTCGGAAC